ATTTCTCCTTTTCAGCATCTGGTCATCCTTCTTAGCTTTCCTCAGCTCCACATTAACTTCTATTCGGCGCCGCCTCATTTCTGCACTGTCTTTCCCCTTGTTCTTGAATCTGTTAAGGCGGGCAGCTGGCGAATTAGCATTCTCGTTGGTGGACATGGTTATGAGACAAAGGGAGAAGCTCCAGGCAGCCACTCAGGCTTTCACAGGAGACGCGTGAGCGGAGGACAGGCTGTGGTTTGGTTGCTCCGAGAACGTCTACAGTGGCTCAGCTCTCAGACGGTGTGTTGGGGTCCAACCCCTTGCTATTGATGCCTTGGACAATGTCCTCAACAGACCAATTTGCAGTGCCCTGGTTGTTGCAGTGTTCCTGCAGTGGAGACATAGCATCATCGGGAAAGGAGCTCACATTTCTCCTTTTCAGCATCTGGTCATCCTTCTTAGCTTTCCTCAGCTCCACATTAACTTCTATTCGGCGCCGCCTCATTTCTGCACTGTCTTTCCCCTTGTTCTTGAATCTGTTAAGGCGGGCAGCTGGCCAATTAGCATTCTCGTCGGTGGACATGGTTATGAGACAAAGGGAGAAGCTACACACGGCCGCTCAGGCTTTCACAGGAGACCCGTGAGTGGAGGACAGGCTGCGGTTCGGTTGCTCCGAGAATGTCTACAGCGGCTCAGCTCTCAGACGGTGTGTTGGGGTCCAACCCCAGCAGGTCCAGGGGTTCCCAAAGGTGTGGACGGAGTCAGCGAAGAAGGAAGGACACGGAGGCAGTGTTCAGTTGATCAGCAGCCTAGCCAGGTTCTCCAGCCAAGTTCTAGCCAGGATCTCCAGTCACGTTCTGTCCAGGATCTCCAGCCAGGTTCTGTGCTTTATTGTCTTGTTACATCTGTATTTATACAAGTTAATTTTAATCCTATCAATTTCTATTCCAAAGGTTAGGGCGTTTCTTATCTCCATTCCAGGGAATAAAGATTATGTAGCTTAAGCGTGATTGTTCATAGTTAAAGTGATCAACTACCCGCCTGGCACTTAGTTAAGGGGTTTTATTCCCTCCCTAACTTCAGGGAAAAATCCCTACCTGGGGAAACAACCTTTCTCGGAGAGGTGACCTTAGTTAAAACACATAGCGCCAAGAAGGGGAGCAAACATATTAAGAACAGTGTGCCATATACGCCAGGTCTCTTGAGACATATGCTGTGCAGATGTTTCTTCCCTGCAGCGACTGTGTCAAGCAGCAAGGATGGACCGGCTCCCGGCAGTTTATGGTCTCTCTCCCTCTACCAGAATGTGAGCTTAATGCCTCCTTGGCTTGGCTGCATTCTAAAGCAGTGCCTGGCTCATAGAAGGTGTTCAATAACTACTTGCCGAATATAGAGCCAAACAGACCCCCCACTCAAGCATGCAGCTTGGTAGAATGGGATTCAGGTGACCTTAACATTCTCTGGGACCCGTCCCACTTTCTTCCATCTATACATATGGGTCCCAGCAGCCAAGTTTGCTTTGTTTGACCTTGCTTTCCTGGTCTTCACTGATGGTACCACAGCAGACATGTAACCTAAGCTAGGCTGCCCATTATTTTCTTTTCTGGAACTTAATTTTGCCTTGTAAGAATAAAGGGACTTTGAGAAAACAACCTCTGGACTCATTCACAGATCCAATGGCAAGGAGAGAGAATATAAATAAAATTACAGAAGTCACTGTAGAAAAGCTGGACACTTCAGAAAAGCACAAAGTAGGAAATAAAACCACCCGTTTATCAGAGTTTCTAATAAAGAAAAATAGGAAACAACCGACATATCCAAAAATAAATGGATAAATCAACTATGGCGCATTGATACTAGGCAGTGCTGTCATTGAAAGACCTATAAGACACATTGCCAAATAAGTGAAACGAGGCACACCAATCAGAACAAATATATGCACCCCTATGTTCCTAGCAGCGTTATTTACAATAGCCAAGATCTGGAAACAGCCCAAGTGCCCAAAAAAACTAAGTGGATTAAAAAACTGTGGTACATTTACACCATGGAATACTACATGGTGTAAAAAAGAAGGACTTCTCTCTTACCCTTTGTGACAGCAATAGTGGACCTGGAGATTATTATGCAAAGCGAAATAAGCCAGTCAGAGAAAGATAAATACCATGTGGTTTCACTAATATGTGGAATCTAATGAACAAAATAAACTGACAAACAAAATGGAACCAGAAGCATGGATACATGGAACAGACTTTCCGGAGCCAGATGGGAGGTGGGTGGGGTGATTGGATAAAGAAGTCGAAAGGATTAGCTAAATAACATACATGCAGATCCCATAGATACCTGCACTCTGCTGCCACAGGTAACTGAAGCTTTTTCGTGCATGTCAGGCACCAGACTTTTGTGTCTCCCAACCACAGGAACCACATTTCAGGCTCCTCAGAATGGTCCTAGGACTTGGGGAAAGGAGGTAGCAATTGCTTCAAGCTACTCCCAAGCAGAGCATCTCTCTCAAAAAAAGAAGAAAAAAAAAAAAAGAAAAAGAAAAGTCTCATCCATCCTCTCCTTCTAATCCTTTTTCATATCCTCAATTTGACTGAGGAGTACAAGGGTAGGGGATCTGTTTTGCAACCATTTTCTGCATATATTCTGCACAAGTGGATCTGGCTTTGAAATTTACCACCTTTTAAAGGTTCGTGTTTCAATACTGAAATTTTAATGTTAGCATCCTTTTACACATATGCGCATAACTTTGTTTTGTATGCTTTTGTTTTTGTGCAAATTAATTTTGTGCAAATTAATAAAATTAATTTAAAATGGAGTTGAGAGGTCAGAAGGGGGAGCCCTTACTCTATGTCAATTATAGACCCTCAACAGGAAGAAATAAATGCACCTACCCAGCAGAATGGAAGATTTCTTCCCTTTCCCCGCAACTCAGCCAATTAGAAACCGTCACCACCCTGAAAACTTTTGCTTTCCTCCAATAGACTTTCATTTAAAACAGCCTCTTCCAATGTCCTCCTTTTTCTCTATAAAATAACAGTCCTCTCCTTTGTTGAACTTGCCTATGGTTTTTTGCTACAGTTTGCTTATCCTCTGCTATTCCCAAATTAACCCATTTTGCTGATAAAATCACTGGCTGTTTTATTTTTATTAAAGTCATTTGTTTACGTAATGATTATTTTATACCTATTTTTGCAACTTCCATTTTTTTAATTTAAACTTGTATTTTAGAGACGCTTATCAGTAAGTGCATATGGTTTCATGTATTTATTACCCTCTTGTTATTAGAGACGATCACATGGCCCTAACTTTACTCTGGAAGCAAGCAAAAATAAACGAACGTTTCCATCCAGCTAAACTTCACCTCAAGATTTGTTTAGATTGATGGATATAGTTTTTATTTTTTTAACAGCATTTGAATGGTTTTTCATTAATTAATTAATTAATTAAACTGAACCCACCGCCTCCTATTGCTAGAGATTTGTTATTTTTCTTGAGTCAGGAGGAAATAGAGTTTATGACTTATCTCATACAGCTTGAACTCCCTCCCCTCTTTCTATTTTTCTCCCGTTAAGATCACTTTTCCGGCCAACGAGAGATCCGCAGCCGCCTTTGAGGCTCCTGCCCTCCAACCCCAAAAGCTCGTAGGCAGGCGCACTGCTCCCCAAAGGCATCGTGCTTGCCGCCGTGTGCACCTCCAAGCGCTAGAGGGCAATGCAACCCCAGGCTGTGCGTGGGCTGTCAAGAAAGCCGCTCCCGACGCGCACGTCGTTACGTATGCGTTGGGGGCGGAGCCTCCCCGTGCGCGGCGACTGGAGGCGGTGCTGGCGGCAGCTAGAGGCTTCATAGTGCGGCTCGCGGGCTGGGGGCAGGAACTTCGGGGGCGGCGGTGGAGC